TTTTTATCCTCTCAAAAATTTTATACCATGCTAAATTTTCTAGGTATAATCAAGTATTATCTATACCTCATTATTAAATTATCATCAAGTAGATCAGAAACACTGTTTATGCAGCTCGGCAGAAGCACACCATACTGGTAGGTACATGCAGTGAAGAAATACCATAAACTGAAAATTCAGAGAAATCCATTTCAATTGTGGCTGAACTATTGGACCCACTGTTACCATGAGAGGAGCAAATTCACTGGACCTATTCCTTCATTTGCAAACTCAGAGTGGTGAACTAAATAACTCTTTCCTGAGTGTAAGTCTAAAGAGAAGTGCATTCACATTAACAATTTCTGATTGTTTAATGAGTTTAAGGGCTAAAGTTTTTGTTATTGTTAGTTTAACTGAGGGCCTCCTCACTGAGCTAATTCCCCAGACATTTTTATTTGTATGAGACTGGGTGTTGCTAAGTTGACCAAGCTAGGTTAAATGTGATCCTCCTGCCTCAGCATCCCAGAGTGCTAGGGTGACTGGCACTCATCACCATACCTAACAAACATCTTACTAATTTATAAGAAATATACGAGGACAGCCAGGCATGGTGGTACATGTCTGGAATCCCAGCACTTGGGAGGCTGAAGCAGGAAGATCAATGCAAGTTCAAGGCCTAGGCCACTTAAGGAGTTCAAGGCCAATATGTACTATAGAGCAAGACCCTATCTGAAAGAAAGAAGAGAAGAGAAGAAGAGAGGAGAGGAGAGGAGAGGAGAGAAGAGAGGAGAGGACAAACATGTCTAATGACTTTTGGGGGACACAGGTCTTATCATCACAGAAAACTACAGAAAACTCTACAAGACAACACAGTGAACTCCAAGGAAAGAAAAAGAAACCTATACAGAAAGAAAGCCTATGGATTCTGAGAAGTCATAAATCTATGATATGGTATCTACTGGCCTCCAAATTAACATAGATAAGCTTAACTGGTCATGTATTGCATAAATCCTAATGGTAGGTAATTCAAAATCAGTGTA